CTTATATCGTTTTCAGTTTACACAAAGTAAAAACTGTTCTTTTTGTGATAAAGATGAATAAACATACCGACATGCTTTCTTTGAATGTAAACAAATAAAATGTACGTGGTATGAAAATGGGAACGCTTTAAATATTCCAATGCTAAAAAACTGACGCGGAAAAAAGTACGTTTAGGGATAAATCATACAAATAGTGGTTTTGAAAAATTAGTGAATCATGTTATTCTGCTGATAAAGTTTATGATTTATCGCAGTCGGGAAAAGAGAGTAGCATCCTCTACGACAGAAATACAAAAATGCTTTTACACTGTTGGTCATAAAGGTGGAATAATTATTTTTACCCCAATTAATGGAATGATTTTGACCATGATTTATTCCCAATAGATCTAGCTAATAGTATACATTCTCAGATTTTATTGAGTAATAATTTTCCAGTGTTCGTTTTGCGTGACTGCTAAAGCATGTGTTTGCTACTATGCTAATCAACTAGGGGACCTACGTCCTTAAGTCATAACCGACAGTAATGAGGATGAATGCCTCACAAAAGGGCACTAATATAGCTGATCGACACGGTTTTTATTATGGGGTTTCACAATAACGAGGCCATTGCTTAGCCAATGAATCATGACTGTACGCAGCGGGGGCTAGGGTACGTCGCCGCCCCACAAATACCCCAAAACAAAGAAAATGCAATAAGTCATCAATAATTCATTGCATTTTCCCCCGGTCCCCAACAGGAAAATTCCTCTGCAGGGCCATGCATTATGGTTCAAGGCATGCTCACAAAGAGGATTTTCTTTATAATAATAACTTTTACTTAAATAGCGCTTTTCATAAGACATTTATGTCAAAGCGCTTTACAATAGAGATACAAATAAAACTAAACAGAGTAATGACAAGAGAACAAATTTAAAGTGAAATTATGAAACATAAGATAACGAGGTAAGGTAACAATTTAAGAACTAGGTTGAATATGCATTTTCCATTAGATTTTCCAAAAGATAACATTTCAGAGAATAAAAGAGTGGTAATAAAACTAATAGCGTGCTAAATGTTAGTCCTGACTCTTGCCTGCAGTGTATGCCTACCAGACTGATATCATCTATTTTTAAACGAAATTTAGACATTACCAGTGGACACTAATAAGCAACCAGGAAAGGTTCATGTAGACAGAAAATTCTTTATTTCCTGGTGAGAGAAACATTCATTTGTATGAATATTGATGTCTCCAAACAACATTCATCGCGAAAAACCCATTCCAATATTCTGTGTAAGGAGATTAAAAAAAAAAAAATTCTCATTAGTAAATGAAAAACATATTACTTTTGTACAGTAGGTTTGCGGGTGAGAGAGAGAGAGGGTTGAGGAGTCCTGAAAAGGACTGTTTGTTATCTTTCTTAGCATATAGTTCTAAGGAGAACTATAGCGCTTGGAGAGGATGAGTGGCTCGACGTTTCGAACAGGTTGACTATCCGTCGTCAGGAGTGGAGAAGGAGTGGTTGCAACCCGGAGACTCCAGCCCAGACGGACAGTCAGACGTACCAGCCGACCATCCATGCCCACTCCCCGATGACTCAAGCTAACACGGTCACCTTTTCCCCCCCCCTGACGTCCGCATCCCGGTGACTTCTCCACTCCTAATTTATTGCATTTTACCCCGGACCCCAACATAAAAAAATCCTCTGGACGGCCATACATTATGGCTCAAGGCATGGGCAAAGTAAAATGGGAACTTGTCGAAGGAAAAGGGGCACGTGTTAACAAAAATGGGCACTCATCAGAGGTTAATAGGGGAAGGGGCACTTTTACAAATAATAGGGGCACTTACCAAAGTAAAAGGGGCACTTCTTACAAAATTAAAAGGCGCTTTCCTATGTAAAAAGGAGCACTTTTGGGGTACTTGAAGAAGTGAAGCCACTGTGCCCCCCCCCCCCTGCCCCCCTGATTCAACTTGTCCACCATTTTTTTTTTTAATTACGAAAAAACACAAAAACATCAAATCAAGGGGTATGAATAGGTTTACTGTTAACTGTATGTCTGGATGTCTACCTACCAGCATGAGTTCACCCATTATTGAGGGAGCACTGGGACGATTGGGGGAGGGGGGGGGGGGGTGGCTCCGGTCTTACTCGGAAAATGAAATGCGGATTACCAAGCTAATGATTAGAGGGAGGGTGTGGGAGGTGGGAGGTGTTCCGGGCCTTTTTGCTTCTTGTCTTCCCACTTTCATTTTCTCTCATTTTCAATAAACACTCGCTTCAGAGACTCGAGTTAAATCTATGGGGTCGGGGTTACTGTAATATTAAAGAGTCCTGATGGGCAAAGCCCGGAGAAAAATGATACTAATGCATTTCCCCCGATCCTCTGTACAGTCAAATCATGTTGATTTATTTATCAATGATAAAGTCAATGAGATTATACCAAATATGGAAAAACAGTATACGAATATATTCAAATGAAAATTTATTGCGTGGTAAAGAAGTTGAAAAGATATTTGATCTAAGATATTCATTAACAACATTCAATATAATAACTACAAAATTACGAATGTTAACATCAAAATAACTCTTTGTTCGAGTAATGAACGCTGGTTTCGTCTGTTCTCTCATCTTTTCTTCAATAGTTAGTCTGATTTTACCTCAATTATTACACTTCAAGTACTGATAAGCCGAAGTATACATAATTATTCATGAGCCTTTCGTCTCTTTTATCTCTTATCATCGAATAATGCTAGATGAAACATTATTTTTAAAGGTTTTTATTTTTGAGACATCTCTTAAATAGCCCATATTGTGCAAGCACACACATGTATAAAATATAGATTGACCCAATGGTAACGGTTTTAATGTTATGGGGTTCAGTTGATGTGAAGTGTGTTGTCTGCATCCAAGATCTTTTAATTTCTTGATTTCGATGGTTCAAACATAATATTTACAGTAATGATATTTTCCCCATAATTATCAATCACTCTGAATAACTTATAGACGGTTTCTTCAAAACACAATTGCACGATTAGTACTCAACATTATAATAAAAGTAGACCCACTATCAGTACAGTTTCATTTTACAGTCCTTTTCAGTAACAGTCAATGTATACATCATTCTTGTAACGTGGCATATCTATGAATATTCATAAGTACAAAGATAAATCAAAGTTTACAACCCAGTCGAGAAACTTCACAGTACTGTTGTAATGCTCGAGACGACTCTATAAGGTAAATGCCTGTACATGATATAAATTAACGAAATTAACGAAATTAAAGATCAAAATAGAACAGTAAATATGACCATTATTTCGTGCTCATTTTGCTATTCTACCTTATGGCATAAACATAAATTTCTACCGTATAAAAAGTCTAGTACTTCAATGATAGAGTAGAAAAAGAACGGATAGGGCTAATGTAGACGTATTGGTTGGTTGTTACCTGACTGCTAGGAAAGTATGTGTATGCTAGTAAGTAAACAACCAGGGGACCCGGGGCTTTAAATCCTCTCCGAGGGACTTGGCAATTCGGATTAATGCCTTACCAAAAGGCACTAGCGTATCAACTTGCATGGTTTCGAACCCAGGACCTCCCGGTTATTAGACCACTGCTCTAACACTGAGCCACCACGCCTCCATCATAATTATATTTGATTCTTTAACATCTAAATACATAATTGACCTGCAAACAACAATGTCTAATTAATGTGACTTGATAAAACAATGATAATGTAGTAGATTTAATAGCTAAAAGAGGTCAAAGTAATGTATACATTCAAACACCGTCACATTTAAATCTGCTAGGGCTGTTGACATTTGAATGTCACACAGCAATAGCAAATGAAAGATATTCAAAACAGATCAGATGCCAAACATTCACTAAGAAATTAATATTTCTGATAGTATAAGAAAAACCATCATAAATATATCTTATGAAGAATATCTCGAGCAATGATTGCCTTAGAATTTATGTAGTAAGGCTGAAAGGATTACAATTCAAAATTTTGAATTTTCAAATTATCCTCTATTTTTCAAAATTGATGACTTAGACTAGTTGCTGAACAGCTGCAGAACTTATCTTAAATTATTAATTTAAAAAAAAAATCTTTTATTAAATAAACGAATAAATCAATTGATCGAACACAACTGTTAGGTTGTATAACCGGACACCTGGCGTTAAATATTGAAACATCTATAGACTATTGTTAATACTAAATTTCCTGTAAATTCATTCCACAATCTATTCGACGTTCCGTGCTCGGCAATAATAATGAACTTTACGCCACATTATTTTAGAAAAAAAACAGTGTTGTGTCCTTTTTGTCCCCCAGAATATTGTCACGATAAACTTCGAATCTCTGGACCCATAACTCTTAACTGGTTACTATATCAGTTTCATGATATCATCACAAAAGGTAGCTTTTTGTTTTCAAATGAAGTGCAACAAATCTATAAACCGACATATTTTCTTTTTGATAAGTTAGAAATTGGTTTACGCTCTCTAGTTTATGCCCATTCCTTGTGAAGGGTTCCATGATTATAAATGTGATATTTTTTTCTTCTCCCGCACGATATTTTTATAGGCTATTCTGGTCATAAGAACTGGCCGTGTAAATGGAAACGTCTCCTGTCTTTGATGAACTCAATTCTCCGAGGTTTGAGGTACCAAAAAGTGACATTTGTCAAAGATTCACACGTTTCCAAACAACAGCAACTCCCTAGATCTCTGGTTACATCTTTTGAGGCAACCTTGAGACATGCACTATTATAATGGAATGATTGTTTTGCCGAGTGAGCAATAGAAATAAGAAAAACACTTTTCGTTAACTAGTTAACGAAAAGTGTTTTTCTTATTTCTATGGCTCACTCGGCAAAACAACCATTCCATTAAGACAAATTATCTATTTAAAGGATATTGTGTGCGAATAAGCCTGAATCCGATGACCGGGGTAATAATATATATATATATATATATATATATATATATATCTGTAAAGCTCTTTGAGAGGGCCGTCGGTCCTGAAAAGCGCTATACAAGAACTAGCTATTATTATTATAAATCTCTAAGTAAAAGACTTAGGCATGAGTCATACTTGTAGTTCTATTCAATACTGAACTAAATACTATAACTTATGCAGTTATCAATTCCCTTCCATAGTCTTGATGATAAAGTCCAGATTGCTAACGGTACCCGTAAAGATGTTTGGCCTATATGGCCCACCGCATGATTCTCCTGCCGACACCATCCCGATGGAATACCAGGTACCATTGATGTCAGACACCAGGGGTCCTCCGCTATCACCCTGCATTACAGAAGGGCCGACATAATTTAAGCAATTATTGTATGAATAACATTTTAGGGTGTAAGGTCACATGTTTGAGCTAAGCATTACACCGACCATGGTACAGAAATGACAAATAATGGGATATAAATCACAAAATGGCACATTTGTAAAGATCACATGATCATTTTATTATGCTCACTGTGAGCAAAGTGATACGTTCAAGGTAGCATTTAAATCTACTAATGTCCTGCTTTAAATTTGCATTCAGAATTTCCGAGCACTCGGCTCTTCAGTGTGACAAAATGGCGTCTCGATGACGTCATGCTGTATTGACACCATCAGAACCCTAAATTCAAACATTTCACATATTCTACCGTTTACTTGGACTAAACAAGGGAAAATTTGCCTTGCTGGTTTTACGGAATCATCTTCAAGTAGCAAATGGTATATAATGAGGAAATAAGATACGCAACAAACTACTTTTTACGATGAAATACGGTATCCGACTTACAAAACAGGTACTAATAAATCCATTTGAGTATCCAGCGCAAACCACACTATCCAACAGCTCTAGTGAGTAGTGGTTCCTGCAGTACTCCAGAGGAACTTTCGGCAGACGGATCTCCTGTAGGTCTGGTGGACTATCACCTGAAATCCAGCATAAGATTATATGGATATTATTGGTCCTTCGTTCCATTGAACTCACGTTGGTCCAGTGGCAGTGATATTTTATAAGCCTATGGGTATGCGGTCCTTATTGGGCCAACTTTGGTAACATGATAATGTGACGTTCCAGTTACCGTTGGTCTTGCGTCACATTAGGGTTATACCCGTTGCAGACAAGGTGTAATTTTCCGACGTAGGATGCTGAGGTCTTTGACGCATCAATTGTGAATGACATCGTTTAAAAAAAAGTCAAACGCAAAATGAGCAGTAAAATATTGCTTTGAATTATAATACTTGGGTCAGTTGCCCTCATAGGCTTGATTAATGCGGATAAGAACACAATTGAAATTACAAATGCGCTACGTAGGCGAATCAAACTTGGAAAAGATAACAGGGCGAGAAAATAATTTACTTACTGCTCTCTACGATGGATCCCCAGCCAGTGGCTGTGACGTAAGTACCGTCAGCAATGACGTAGTCCATCGGCGGTAGACAAGCTGGCTGGACATAGTTATTGAGGGTAGCCGGTTCCTTCAGTTTGATCATTCCGAGATCATTTTGGTGAGCCGGATCACCGCTGTAGTTTGGATGGATCCAGATCCGTTCAATCGGAATGGTCTGTCCGTCTTCCCTGCCGGTTTTCCAGTTAGTGATACCGAGATAGACTTTCCCACCATGCAATCCGACCCTGGAAAGGAGATCAATGCTTATTTCATTTACTTAATACATGTACAATTACATTGGGGTTATTGCTCAAAACAATTCGATTCCTAATGTAAACTTAACAGACTGCTATAATAGGTACGATATGCATATTTCGTGTTCAACAAGGAGACTGCAATCAACACCATTGACAGATCGTTGTAAACATTTTAGATTGATACCATAAAATAGTTTGTGATGGAGGTATCTAAATTGAATGAACAGGGGTATCTTGGTTTCAATAGCGAGATTTGATAGTTTAACATACATAAGCGTTTGTAGGCGACCCCCCCCCCCAAAAAAAAAAAAAAAAAAATAATAAATAAATAAATAATAATAATAATAATAATAAATAAAAAAAATAAAAAAAAAATAAAAAAATATTAATAACAATAATAATAATAATAATAATAATAATAAAATAAAAAATAAATAAATAAATAAATAAAATAAAATAATAATAATAATAATAATAATAATAAATAGAAATAAATAAATAAATAAATAAATACAAACAAAAAATGGGACCCGTTTTGTTTTCATCCTTTGATGGAAGCCCTGCCCTTTTCGCAAAAAGCTTATCGCAGAATTCGGTCCAATTCCCACTTCCCATAGACGACAGTACGTGGTAGTCCTTGGGAATGATAACAAGGCTTCTCCTTATTATATCAGGGGGGTGTTTCACAAAGATCCTAAGTTGAACTTATCTCTAAGTTGGACTTAAAAATTATGGAAAGCCATTAGCATCTTTGAAAATATTTTGTAAAAGTAAGTTTGAAAGGCATTAAGTGTTTATTCAAATCATTCATATTTTCTATCATCAAGGAGATTTCATGTTCTGGATGCGGAATTTATAAAAAGTCTAAAATACTTGAATTTCTGCTTTTGAATATACTTCATTTTAAGACTCCAATGGCTGTCCATAATTTTTAAGTCCAACTTAGTGTTAAGTTCTACTTAGGATCTTTGTGAAACACCCCCCAGGACTTGCTTGCCCATCGGCATTAATCATTGGAAAACATTAATTGCATCCCAAATCATTCTTGAATACTTGGTTACTCATAAATCTGGTAAAAGCTCCTCCCAGTCTCTCTAGATAGTGTAGAATGAGAACGAAATCTTGGTTATCACCATCCCAAAGTTCCTTTGAATTTAGATAAGGCCTAACAAAACAAAGATGTTGTGTATTGCCCTGTAGGTGCCAAAACATTGGTCGGTCGGTCGGAAATTTTTTTCTTCTTCTTCTTCTCCTCCCTCTTTGGGCTGATATTTCTCAATATTTTGCTTTAACAGATATCTTTTTATTCATTAAACATTATTTTCTTTTAAAAAACCGACCGTAGATTTCAAGATTTTGGGGTCGGTTTCAAGGGGCAATATAACATGTTTTTTTTTAAACGCCTAAGGTACTTTCTGCATCCTGTATTGACAGGGTTAATACAACATGATTGTGATCCAATATTTGCTCCGGCGACAACGGCTTTATATTATAAAATATACAGGGATGGGGTCGCAATTGAATATTAGGGTAGATTTCAGCGTCAGGGTTAGATTGGGATGTTCAGGATAAGTTAAGGGGTAGGGATAAGGTTAGGTATAGCGTTTGTTCCAGGGTTGAAGCTGGAAATTCAGTTAGCGTAGCAAATGTCACAACACGACGTAGTAGAACTTTACAAGAGCGATTCCGTGAGATGTGTCACGTACCACATTATGTCCTTTTCCCATTATTTCATACGAGAAAAAAATCTAGATGGGACCATATGACTATGTTAGTGATACCTGAATGAACCATTTAAATCATAATCCTTATAAGCAGGTGTTCATTATTTGATTAATGACATAAATGGACGTCATAATTTCATCCGGGACCAAGTGCACGGAAGCACCCAGAAGTATGTTCATGAATTACGTACACACAGTGAGCGGCAGTCAGAACCCATTTTCTGTTGATTAAGGTACCACCGCAAAAGGGTGTGGTCTTGGAACGGATCAGCCCAGCCTGCCAGGGCCATTTACCCCGTGTCGTCACTGCAGCACCCATGATGATATTGGCATCCATGATGGGACGGTCACCGCAATCTACACAAAATTGAAGCCATTCAGATTAATTAGACTCATTTTCGGTTGTATTGAACTTTTATTAAACATGTAGTTAATATAGAGTCTAAGGAAAAGTTTTAAAATTTAGCTGGAACGGTTTACCATAAAAAAAAAAGATGCAATGGCATCAAAATGTTTTATTAGTAACCATATGAAGTTAAGATAGATGAGTGTTATTATCGAGTGTTGTGCAATAAAGTGTGAGAACGAATAACAAATAGATACTAATTATATTTTCTAAAAGTATTTATGTTATACCCCTAAAATGAATAAAGAATCAACGAAAGATATATATATATATATATATATATATATAGAGAGAGAGAGAGAGAGAGAGAGAGAGAGAGAGAGAGAGAGAGAGATTTTACTCCCTCCCCCCCCCCAAAAAAAAAAATAAATATATATAATAATAATAATAATAACTATAACGTTAGATGAAGAAACAATCTCTTACGGCAGTTGTCTTCATCGGATCCGTCGGTGCAATCTCTGCGACCATCGCAAACAAAACGATCCGTCGGTCCAAAACCGTCACAACTGTCTGAAAATTAGACGTAAAAAACATAACAGGAAACACATAAATGCTGTAATGCCTGTTTCCAGAGGCCAACAGGGCCTTGAGATTAATTCAACTTTCATTATTCAACATAATCATGATTATTGTTGGTTCAATATGGTTCAGATAATTTGTTTTGTATTCCAAATTATTTCGTCCTGAGCGGCAAAATCCTTGACGTTACATTGAATGTGAAAAGTAATAGTGTATTTGTCTTTTACCCACAGATGCTTAAAACGCCCAAGTTCGTTTCAGTAATTATATATTCAAGACACGATACAACTACAATGTATGTAGCAACATCATTTCAAATCAATGGACGCTCTTTTCTCGAAAAGCTGCGTAACCGCCGGAATGAGTAAATTTGGTCCACCATTTATGGAGTCCACATAATCACCTGTTATATTCATTTTGTAATAATCACGTTGATAATTCTGTACCTAAGCGAAATCACGAGAGCTAGCAACCATAGCTTTTCTTTCTCATTTTGTATCTAGCAACCAAATTAATGTCGTCCATTTATCTATTCCATAGTTACAGTTATTTGTACTTATCTATAATATGGTTGACACAATATTTTGCCTTTTATATGAAAAAAAGGTGACCATTCAAGTTTTGTTGGTAACGTGAGCCATTCGTCACTCCGGCGTTTTCTACTGCCCGTTTTGAAAGACGTTACTTGTGGCTACTATCGGCAGTGCATTTAATTTGATTGTGAACACACAAAAAATCCGCATTGAACATCCGTTTAAAAAAATTAAAACTATGTGTACCACACAAAACATACCCACGTTGGCTCCAAGGACTTTAGGGATCACATATAAATGGAATTTTTTATTTTGGCTTACTCGTTATGTCTGCAGGATCGCAGTTTTCTTCATCTTCACCATCATCACAATCTTTTATGACGTCACAGCGGTATTCTTGCTTGATGCAGTCTCCATTGTTACACGCAAAACCAGAATCTTCGCATATTACTATGTTTGAAGAAGAAAACAAATTACAGGAAATAACATCATTTTATATACTCCTTTCCTGTTCATTTTAATAAAATAAAATGTCAATTGTTACTAAATTAAACAAAATGTTGAACAAACGGAAGCATAGTTACATAATTATAACCAAGAGCGGATCCATGGTGTGGAAAGGAGGGGATGGACAACTTTAATGAATTACTCACTTAAGGGACATGTTTTTGTTAACTTCAGATATGGCATCAGAGTTTCAAAAGAGCGGGATAGGCAAGGGCCTCATAAATTCACCATTGCATACTTCAGTGTCTGAAACATATTCAGTCAATAATGCGCATTTGGCAAAACATTTTCTCAGGGCATGCGACCCTTGTGACGCTCGTGTTGCTTGAACATCTTGGCCCGAATTCACAAAGGAGGTTTGTCGACAAACCGAGGTTTATGTACGTCATATGACGCATTTTGACGCGTTTTTTTACAAACCTGGTTTGTAAATAACAAAAGGAGGTTTGTCGAAACAAAAGGAGGTTTGTCGACAAACCTTCTTTGTGAATTCGGGCCTATACGTCGCAATGAAGGAAAAATAATCAATTGGCTGGAAGCAAATATCTGACATGATAGAAAAAAATTCATCAGTATAAAATTGTAAGATACTGTAGCAAAACTGACTTTTCATCGAAAATCTTTTTTTTACCACGGTTTTAAACAAATATCAGCTCAAGGGCAATTTCCATATCCGTTTGGACATCCGATAGAAATTATGTATAGCTAATGCAATATTTTAATGGACATGACTATTGATATCGGGTTATGTTTAGTTTTCAGAGGGCGTTGTGATCGGGCTTTCCCCCTTTCTCATACACTGTACCTGGTGTCTTTGTAGTTTTCATCGACATAGGTTCAGATGTCATGACTCCGTGCATCATCGTCGAAGGCGGTCGCATCGTCGTCGCCAACGTTGTCGAGGGCATTCTTGTCGTCGTCGTCGTCATGACGTCACAACTTGTGAGATTGACTGCGCATGTGCCGTCTGGACATGTGAATTCGGTTGGACTGCAGGTGGGTTCTACGAAACGACAGGAATGTCAAAAGGGCACAATAACGTCTAAGATCAACTGAGTTAAATATCCCGTTACTGTCTTGATGCATCACAAAATTACTCCTTTGCACACGGGAAAAAGGAGCTAAGAACTATAATAACTATGCTTAACAGAATAACTTATTAGCCACACTCCAAGGCCCTCATTCTCGCTATCGTTCTAACTCTATCTTTCTTTCTTTTTTCTTATTGGACAATCTATTCGGAGGGTGTGGTTTTCTTGTGCGCTGCTATCAGAGGTGGCGGGGTGGGGGTGCTCAAAGACATATCCAAACAGACCTTAGCCTGGGGAAACTTTGCCCCTCCCTATTATTTTTTCGACCATACAACCAGAGTTTATGCAATGCATATAGTTCTGTGGGGAGCAGGTACCCCCAAAACAAATGCTAAATACCACTGTTATTCTACCGAGTTGGAAGTGCTTTTTTCTGGAAAACGTCTGTGCGTCGCTCATTTCCAAGGGCAATCTTACCATCATTAACCTACAAATCATTCCATAACCTTATATTTTTTTCTTTCTTGGTCGGAAATGTAATAGGGAGGAGCAAAGCTCCCCCATCCTTGTCTCACCTTCAAATACGCCATTTATGCTCGTCGGCATCGGATTTTCCACAGGCATGGTCAAGCTAAGATAGGCTGTGGGACGGCTGATATTTCTCAACGGTTTTGTCATGTAACAGACTTTACCGCCGGACGTCTTAAAAGAACCCTGCTCTAGTTTGGAGGCGAAAGTCTCACACAAGGCAAATAATGTTTGTTGTCTAAGCAGGGAATTTGTTCTAATCAGCTCTACCAATCAGATAAGTTTCATATGAACAATCTTCTGTCGCTGCAAAATAAAAACACTCACCGCAGTTTTCCTCATCCTCGTTATTGGCGCAATTTGGTGTGCCATCGCATAACATATCTAGGGAGATGCATCGGTGGTCGGCACAACGATAGTATCTTCCCGGGCAGGCTGACACGAAGAATAGCGAGAAACAGAAAAAGGGGAAATAAAAGATATTCAATAAACATTCATACACATACAGCATCATACGGTGTCATGACAGGCGCGGATCCAGGATTTCTTTAAAAGGGTGGGGGGGGGGCAAAATTTGAAAATGGTACTTGCCAATTTTTCGCTCAGTGGGGGGGGGGGGGGGGAGTGAGCACCATCTCCAAAAAAGGTAAAACTAACGTTTTTTAAACGTTTTATCCCAGGGGGGGCGTCCCCTCCTCCACCCCTGGATCCGCCACTGTGTCACGATAAAGTGGTTCATTCACCTAAGGCTCAATCAAAAGTTCGAGTGTTCGAATCCCAGCCTGGCACTAACATATTTTGGCAAGACGTTAATCCATATGTGCTTTTTTTTCACCCGGGTGTAAATGGATACCAGGCAATTGATGGGATAATAATGATTGCAATACCCAGATGAAGAGCAGGATTAATCTTGATGTTGTTACCCTGGGTAAATAAACCCTAATTAATTTTGTATTTGTGTGATATTATTTATTGATATGAATGCCATAAATCCAGCTGCCAAATGAATATCTTATGCAAGTTTCTAACAAGTATTTGGACATAAATTGCACTGAGATGCACTGAGTGCATGGTTTTTGCCTCAGAAGTAATCAGCATTACCACCAAAATGCAAGATCTATTTTAGAACATCCATTTGAATTTCTTGTCTTCCCATGCACAACCATACATAAATGGAGTAAACAACCTCACACAGCATCAATCTCGAAAAGAAAAGCTTACGAGGCAAAAGTAAAACAAACCAGCCTACAAACAAACAACGAGGACTGTCTAGACAAAATAGAATGGAAAAAATGACTAAAAGAAAGAAAAAGGAAGGACCGGAAAGGCTCAATATACAGTCCAACCTTGCTATTGAGGCCACCTGGCTATAGTGGTCACACCTTGATAAATATATGTGTGTTTGTACATGTATAACCTGTCTAGGAAGGCCATCTTTAATGCCGGTCTCCTATAGTTTCCATGAATTTGTCTCCTTACAGAAATAAATGTGTGTATGTAGAACCTCTCTAGAAAGCCATGCCTGTCTCATATAGTTGCCATGAATTGTGTCTCCTTATAGAAATAAATGTGTGTTTGTAGAACCTCTCTAGAAAGGCCACTTGTCTACAGAGGTAATTTTTCATGTTTTCCCAGGGTTGGTTTGCTGTATAAACTGTCCGTTGCACATGATGCGTCTTTCCGCTGACGCAATGCTGCGTCACCAGTCGTCGCAGTATTTGACGTGCCCTGCAAAAGCCGACATCGTTAAAATGGTGTTCTCCAAAATATATACAGTGCAAACATTGCAACGCATCACTGGCTTATGTACTAATTTCCTTGATTCGCGCAAGAAATAACGCAATCAAAATGCAACGCAACGGGTATATTTGTACTCACTTGGGCAATTTTGTTCGTCACTTCCGTCTGAACAATCGTCATTTCCGTTACAGGTCAACCAGCCTGGAATACAGGTCGAGTCGGTACATTCAAACTGCCAGCTCGCACAAGCTGATGGGGTAGATCAAAATAAGAAAAATAAATACAATACGTGTAAGACAATACATTGATATTACTATCAATACTTTTCCTATAGTTCAGATGAAATTCACAGATAAAAAAACAAACAAATATATTAATGATAACAAGCAAAACCATGATATGGTATGATCTATTGACATAACTATTCCTCCAATTCATAAGAAATTCGTAGTTGAAGACTTACAACAAATAATGTTAAAAACAATAACAATGAAAATATGTTATGTCCACATAAACGTTCCTCAAATGTGTTGTTCGTATAACTTGTTTTAGTGAACTCCGGAGCATTCAACGTTTGTAATATATGATGAGAGAATATTATTTTACAATGGTATTTGTGCATAAGTATATGGGGTGCCTCCCTCCCCCTAGAGCGATGCCCCTGCATATCTTCCTACTTTTGTTACAACTTCCATGATGAGCGGATCGGGGAGGGGGGCGGTGGGTCACATGATGCCGGACACATCAAACAAAATACTGTCATTGACTGGGGGATTGAAACATAATCCCTTATGCTCGATAAGCAATTGTATTGCTCGTGAGATATTGTTTGTATTATGAACACCAACAGTGACCACAAAAATAATGATATTTTTTGTTCTGCTTTTGAAGGTTATCTGGACCCCGTTTGGTGCATTTGTTTTTGTTTGCTTGTCACAATTAACTTACTGCAATCTTCTTCGTCATCTCCATCTGCACAATCGGCAATTCCATTGCACTTGTTGTTAATGTGTATACATTTACCGTCTGCGCATGTGTACTGGAAAGGCAGGCATTCTGTGAAATAAAAAAATAAAAACACTTATACTTTAAAATAAGACAAATTATATAGGCTGTGAAAACGAATACCACATACTGATAATTAATAGGAAGGAAAATTAAAAACCCTTCATAATACATGTACCTGTAGTAAAAAAATCATAAATCAGAATTCAGTAGATACTGTCAAAAGAAATAGCAGTAACTTCATATTTAGCCAATCGCAATTCCGTTACAAATATTTCATAACGATGATTAGCCAATCATGATTCTAGGTAAAAACGTGTACAGTTGGTGATTAGTCACCAATGTTTTCAGCTGTTTTTTGTCAGGATTCAGATATATTACTTAGCCTAAAAAGATTCTGCTTAAACCTATAACATAATGATTAGCATATCTACATTAGATGTGAACATGTTAAGACAGCTGGCTTATAGTAGTAATAGGAGTGGTTATTTTACCTGACTGCTAAGAAAGCATAAATAAATGCTTGTTAGTAAGCAACCAGAGGACTGACGGCTTTATGTCCTTTCCGAGGGACCTGGTAATAAGGATTAATGCCTTACCAAAGAGCACCTCCTTCCTCCACTGGTATTCACCCTTTATATGGCAATGTAAGCGAAAAGTCGATATTTCCGAACTAGTAAAATGTTATACGGTAGGCTTGCGGTTGAACCATGTGAGAGAGAGGGAGGATTGGGGAGCCCCGAAAAGGACTCTCGGTAATCTTTCTTGAGTGTGTGGAGTCCTGAACAGGACTGTTGGTGAAAAATGTTTTTAATTGTAACTTAGCATACCACATTAGATCACTGTTAAATTCAGCTCTGATTTATTTAATGAACGAAGTATTATCAATGTAGAGAGATTAAACTTAAAATATCGTAAAAGTGTTCTTATTTGTCTTGATTTAAAGTTCTATCATTCATTACCACAATCTTGTTCCTCGTCCGAGTTGTCAATGCAATCGTTAAATCCATCACAAACGAAAGATTGTCGAAGTGTTTTGCCATTGTCACAGGTGAAGGCTGTTAATCAAGAAATGAAATGTAAGAATAAAAGATGAACACATTTCACAAGACTGTTTGTTCAGAAAACCCTGATGATTATGAATGAAAATAAGAGACTGCTCAAGGATATCTTAAGATGAAAATCGATATTAAATTAGATTTTTTTTTTTAAAGAAGAATATATTTAGACATTTTTCGAAGATTTTAGAAAAACACTTAATATGTAACAAGATATACAATGTAAATATTAAACTTTGACAAAAACGTATTAACTGACCTTTATAACTCCAACGCGTCATTTTCTGCTTTCTTGAATTATACTGTTTTATAATATTCCCAGCAATTTATACTTTTTTTTAATAAATACAAGTACGAAAATAAACATATCATAAAAGGAAAACATATGTTGCAATAATGATACATATCAAGACTATCTTTAGGCAGATACTCGATGGCGTATTCAACTTGAGGTAGAGCGATTAACGCCCCCCTTTTAAAGTCTCATCTAAAAATCAAGACACCTCGTATACTGCATGGGCCTAGGCCACACTGGATAGCTCAGTATACCTCATCCAGGGGCGGATCAAGCCGGCGGCAGGGGAGGGGGCCAAAGAGGGGGCCCAATTCGTGAGAAAATATTTAGCGGCGAAACAGCCAGCCGGTGAATAAGCGGGGTGGGGGGGGGGGCCTGGATCCGCCACTGACCTAATCCTCTCCCCTGCCCATTCGTCTGACGAGGATTAAACCCCAACCAGTCCGGAAAGGATGACGTCCCCCCCCCCTTTTTTTCTTCAATTGACTGGATACGCCATGGATACGCCCCTAGATATAAAACAGTAGATACGCCCCCGGGATACTTACTACAGTTGACTTCATCGTCCAAACAAGCCACACGACGATTACATATCTGAGTTCTTACGAGGCAGTGTCCATCACCGCATCGCTCCCTCCACGCGTCGGGACACGCTGTGCAGATCAAAAGGAGTGACAATAAATTATGACGTATTGTTTTATGTAAAAAAGTTATTTTCAAATATTTTTGCTGTAATCATCTATTTAAAACGATTTTAAATTATTAAATGACAATTTTAAAAGTAATCAATTGTAAAGAAGGTCTTTGTGCTTTTCATGATATCGCCACTATTATGAATTATAATGATTTATAATTTATTGTTAAAAATTATGTTGGGGTTTTTTATAGTCGGAAAGTAAATGATTTGATTTGATCTGAACTCATAGAGCAATCATCATGAAACTTATTTGTAATTTAAGAATATTTGTTGATAAATAATTAAATTCAGATATTCATACATCGGTAATAACTTAAAAATCATGTTTACAAGGTATGTTTGTATATCATAGAAATACGAAAATGAATATAATCGTCTCACATAATTATCCTGATGGAGATAAAATTGCCTTCCAAATATTTAGAGCTGTTTTTTTTAGATGTATACACTGTGTAAGTTATTGATTGAAAAGAAACCTAACCCTAAGATGACATGCAGTACATTTTTGAAGTCATTCCCTCGACTTATAAGCTGTTCACATCACTTAGTCATTCCCACCACCTATACATCAAGGGAACGACTAAAAAAAAGTTATTGCTGATCATCCTAGGTGCTCCATGGATTGAGATACTTTAAATATATATTCCTTATGCTTATTTTGTAAGAATCATACATGTCTTATTTTGTTTTATTAACATACATCCTTTTCAGTGGTCAAGTTTTAGTACAACGTCATACGTTGTAAAGGAAATTAAATTGTAACCATGGCTTATTACATATTACCCTACCGGGGCTCCGTGGACTGAGATACCCTAATTATATTCCTTTTATGCTTATTTTGTTACAATTACACATGTTTTTGTTTCATAAACATACATCCTTTTCGGTGGTCAAGTATGCATTGTAAAGGAAATTAAATTATAACCATGGCAACTTACCGCATCCCACCTCATCGGTCCCGTCCTCACATTTGAGCACTCCATCGCATTTGTCCTCTTCATCAAAGCAGCTCCGGGTGTACTTACACATATGTTTACCCTCAGGACACGTAAAATCATCTGTTTAAAAAGACAAGAAGAATACTGTTTTTTAGAAATTACCTCTTATCTTATTTGTTCCGCAACGCGTAAACAACTTTTAGACAGGTAATACGCATGTCGGCAGTCGTAGGCCGCTAACTCTCCATTATTTTGTCTGTTTGTAGCCAGACAGGCATTATGTTACACAGAGCTAACGCCCTTTTGCTCCCAAACAGACGGTATGTTAATCGATGCTCTTCTTGCTCTCAACAGACGAGTTTTCATTTTCTGGCCCTGTTTCATAAAACTTGAAATCAATTAAAAATGCTAAATTTCTATGACAACTTGGCCCTAGTCCAATCAGATGTCACGATTTCAGCAGTTTATAACATTTATTGTGACTTGCTATTGATAACAAGTTTTATGAAACAGGGCCCAGAAGCATGCGACTCCGTCTGGACAGTGTAATTTTGCCTCGATAAGCCCATTTACACTACTAACATTGTAATACATGGATAGTACGTGGTGTAAAATGACCCTTTTATAATTTTTCTCTCTAAGTTATCGCACCTTTAACTACATGAACTAGTGACTATTACAGTAGTTTGGAGAAAGAAAAAATGTTTATTCGAAAGTCAGTTGTATTGCAAACAGAAATATAAGTAATTCATTTTACTACATTCTGACAGTTTCAGATCTCGGATTCTTTGGCCGGTAAGGCGAGGGGGGGGGGGGGGGGGGCACGAGCCCTATCAATCTGGTACAATAAAGGTTCTAAATCGAATTTTGGGTCTAAAATATATTTCAAAAATATAATAACTCATGAAATTATTTAACCTTTATTTACCATTTAAAAATCAAAATAAAATACACCAATGACAAAATTAAGGAAACGTTTTTTTTTTTTTTTTTTTTTTTTTTTTGTGGGGGGGGGGGGGGGGGGGAGACACATTCTCCTTGATTAATTAGTGTGTACTCATTATATACAAGATTCGGGCTTGTCGAGGGCACGTGTCCCCCTTGCACCCTGGATTCGCTAATGCCTGTTGTAAACTAGCCCAGAGAAATTTCTGTAGCACCATGGATAGACAGACGAACCGATGTCAGTTTAAGCAGGTCGAAAAAATCTAGTTTGAAAGAACAGCTGCAGCTGGCAAAGAATAACATATGGCGTCTTCGAACTTGATCGTTTGTTTCGACTTTGAAAATGACATACGTGAGGAAAGGATGTGAAAATAATCATGTTTGGGAGGGGTTACAAGAATGAAAATGTACATTCCATCTATAATGGAAAATGATTAAAGAAATATCGCCACTCAAACATGGGATGTGAAGAAAACAAATAACCTCAAGAGGGACACATTTGGTCACAGCATTCTGTTGAAGTTCTTTAGTGTGTAAGGATGTGATGATTACAAGAATTGTCATTTAAACAGGTCCCAAAAAGTGGCAGCTACAGCCCATGATACTCTCATGCGGGTCTACTTTTCCACGGGTTCACGAGTCGGTTTCAAGAGCGATCAGTGTCTCGGGATGTTCCCAAATTTGCAATCCAACTTCTAGTTCACCATTTACTCTATTATACTTTATAGCATGTTTTACGTTTTTAAGTAGGAAAAAATTATAAATGCAAATTTTGCATCCTATCCGAATTACACGTACCGGGTCCTTTAAATGTTGTTAGCTGGATCCAGAATCCGTAATGCGCCTCGTACGGATCCGAGTTGAGATGGAAGTAAAGCTCGTTGCCCGGGTAGAAGATATCCGCCGGATTGACAAATCCGGTTAGTGTCTGAAACATCGTACCCGGATAGAGTTGAACCTGACCCGAACCGATGTATAAAAAGTCGTATTCGTCTTCGAAACTCATATCTGTGGTACAATCAATTCAAACAAACAAAACTTTAATCTCCGATTTATATGATTCAAATATTGTTTTCCCCAAAACTACATTTTATTTTCTGCCGTGGAATTTCTTATTGTTTTTAAATTCTTGACGCTTCCAGCACAACTTTGGTTTTGGGGTTCTCTCTTCCTTCTATTTTTGGAATAGGCTACACTAACTCTATCTAATATTTGTATCTAAAACTATTTTGGGGGGGACCTCTCATCCATCCCATGTGTTGGAAATATATAAATACATAAAGAAACAAAATAATATTTAAAACATATTGCACCGATCCTGAAAAGGAAATGTGATTATGATTTCAATATTGCTTTTATTTCAATTTAATCACAAAATGCGTAATTACATAACAGAGACACTGGACGTGGATGCAGGCTAGGTCGGTGGTCCAGAATTAGCTCCAGCCCCCCCCCCCCCCCCCCCCCCCCCCCCCCCACTTCGTTTCATTTAGGGTACGCATATGCATGTTCTGTCCTTTTGAAAACACCCCCTAAAGTCCGGTGTGTAAAGTCAATACGGGCCGGATTTTTGTGTACTACGAGCCGGACTTTGGTGCGTGAAAAGTACCCCTTTAACGGACATTTTGGTAACACGCATGATATCCCTCCGTTCACGGAATGGGGGCCAGGGGCTCCAGCTTCATTTTGTCAGAATGATAGGGTGAGGGTTAGGTATATACTGTTGGTCCTGTTGGATCCAGACTTGAATTCATTTAGGGTAAGAAAACAAGGCAGAGCAATATTATTGTCGCAGACTCGCAGGTCCTGAGCAAGTATCGTACAACCGGCGAGGACATGAGGAAGAATCCCGGCAAAAATGTTTCAAATAATTGTGAAAGTGACATTAAGTCTTCCAATAAATTCGGCATCAGTATCCATTGGCATGTAGGACAAAAACATTCTGACTCTGTACACTGTACTTTAGACATTTTTCTTTTGATCTTAATCGAATGTCTGACTTACTTTTAAAGTGAATCAAGATGTTGTAGCCCTCCGGAGCGGAAACGTACCAAGTAAAAGTTGTGTTTTCCGGATATTTCCCAGGAAAATTCAGTGAAAATAGGTCAGTTGTGGCATCCCCTTCAATCTGAGTAAAATCTATAGATGAAAAAGTTACATTTTTAGTATAACGCTAAAAGTTTCTACAAGCTGTAAAATGTCATGCATATTATTTTATTTCAACTCCACACGCTTGCGTCTCCATTGGTTAAAGAGAACCATGATTCCAAGCATTTCACTTATTTTTCCTGCTTTTTCTTTTTCATTTTCCTTGATTCTACCCAATTTCGTCATAGGAGGAATTTTACAATCATCCGTTTGGTACCCCGCTTGGACATGAGATAAAATAAAAGAGACATTCTTCAAAGGTTCTGTGTTCCATTTGTAGACCAAAAAATGAAAAAGTTAAATCACAACGGCATTTGAAAGATAATACTTTTTAGAACTACCTTCAAAAGGGTTTGAGAATGTCTTTTGTTGGAAAATAAAGACCTTTAGTTGTCGGATCGACTTCATGGATTGTGGTCCTTTTTTAGTAAATAGTCTGATTTTCAGACCCTTGTACCGAATGGTTTACGTTTTGTGTTGATCAAAGATTCAATCAGTTTAATTTTGGCCATTACAAGAAGTGGGTTATCGATGTAGACAAATGCTCAGGTACCCTTAACAGCTCATTAATACCAAAGAAAAAATGAAGTCAATCAGTCACTCAATAGTGTCTAACAGTGAATTCTAGAAAGTAAACGGGTTTCATTGCATAATTTGAATACTATACTGCTTTCGTTAAAATTTCACAGAAGGGACATAATTATGTGACATATTCATAATTCCTGCAAAGTTCTACAGAATCCGATGTTGGCTGCAAATGGGACATAGTACCTTTAAAAGTTTATTCATTTATCAGTTCTGAGTATGTGTCCTCCCATATGGTCTAGTGGTTAGGATTCGGCGCTCTCACCGCCGCGGCCCGGGTTCGATTCCCGGTGTGGGAACACTTTTATTATATTTTACAGTGGGGGAAACAGAATGGAATGATATAACTTGTCCTTTTATCAAAGTCAATAACAATCTGTTTTTCGTGATTTAAATGGGTTTTCTAGAATCCCCTGACTTTATCCTAACTGAGAAAAAAAAAGGAATGAAACTTGTGGGTCAGTTCAAAGTGCAAGGAGTATCAAGAAAGTGTTCATTTTTGTATTTGACATAATATCTCGTGTGCAAAGGCTAAATCTATTTTGGACGAAGCAAAAACTCATAAAACATATTTGAAAGACAAACAATAATGAATGGCTTGCATAGACAAAACTTGGAATGAATGACAGAAATGTATGAAAGGCTTACTGTGAGGAGGGTGATATTTTGTAACCGGCGGCATAGTCGTCGTTTCGTCTGTATCTGAGGATAAACATGTAGATTGGGAAAATGTTATTTTATCATTTATATTTTTACTTTAGTTTAGTTCTTTTTTAGGATCATAAAGGAGTGTAACAGTAACAATGTAGGCATGAGTACAGTTACAAACACGATGGATATGTCGCTTCACCTACTTTGGTCAAATGATTGTCAGACATAGCAACGTTAAACGTTCACAAAAATATATACGTTAGCTGAAAATTTCACAACCTATAAGGTAATTGAATTAGGCCAATGTAAAATAAAAGATTATATAATATAAACCAAATTGCAATTAAATTGGAAGGATTCATATTAAAATGAAGTAAGTCATAGTTTATAGAGGCTGTGACGCTTTTCCATCTCGGAATGAAGTAACCGCAAGGTACAAAACTGTCTTGCACGTTTAGGCCTATACATGAAAAGTTATGAAAATCTATGTCATTTCTATCAGTTTCCATTGAGGAATCTCTTTCGCATGACATTATTTTAAACAAAGACGTGTGATACCGACGGGGAGATTTAAGCATAAATTGGGAATGGATGTTTGGGACGATGATACAGAAACTTATGCGATCAAAATTCAAATTTAAATTAAAAAAATGAGCACCTTACCATCTTCATCTTGCTCATGCCCTCTACGTTTTGCTGCAAAGAAACGAAAAAATAGTGATATCATCAGCATGTAAAATCAGAGCAAAAGCAGCAGAAATCATTAGCAGGACTCGTTTTGAATCATAGATTGTTTTCTTCAATTTCATTAGGGGCATTTACTGTATGCCTATAATGGTCGGATGAGACACACTTAATACGTCAGTATTATCGTAGTATACTTGAATCAATAGTTACTGAAGTGATACTTGGGTCAGTCAGCAAATAATAATAATTACAATAATAACAGTAGCAATAATAAATATAATAACAATTTGAGGGGGATTATAATAACAACAATAATAATAATAATTGGAGAATTTTTGTTTACAGTAACAATAATAATAATAATATTGGATTTGTAAGGCGCCGAATCGAGTGGTCAGGAATAAAATGCTCCGGGCGCACTTGTGAAACAAAAACAATAGAAACAGAATTAAGTAAGATAGAACATACAAAAATGACAGAAGATTTAATTATATGTCGAATTAAACAAATACGTTCTAAGAGTGTAAAATCACTATTAGGCGACTCCGTGCAATGCGACACATGCGTTTTTCCCACATTATTTACATCCAAGAATGAACAAAAAAGCTGTTGAAATGACAAACCATTTAATGGTGTTCGTAATACCAGAACGAACCATGAGTAAAAATAATGGTTATATCAAAAGATTGTCAATGTTTAGATGAAATAGATAGCTAAATGTCATATGTCGTACGGGACACATCTCACGGAATCGCCCAATAAGTATTGTTGAATTAAGAGAACAATAACAACAAAACCAGTTGTTATTTTGTCTGTCCCATTTCATATTCACCAAAAAAGGGAAGACTGTATTGACACCATGGTATGGACAAAGTGTTCATGGAGTATTGTGGCTCATATAGCGATAAAATGGAAATCTGGGACTAAAATGTTAACATGCAAAGACAGTACATCAATGCGTATTGCACTGAGTCAGACTGGAGAGTATCAATATTATGATGGAGTACCAAAACAGTACGAAGTCACAGACGACCATCTCTATCGTTATCGATCACCATATCCAGCGGTGTTTTTTCCCCGCCAAAACAATGCTGCACCTGCCGCGCAACGCACCGGACCACGGCACCGTACCCGGGCTCATTGCCGGCGAGGATGTCCCATATCGAACCCCTCCAGCTCTCTCATTTCCTTGCCACGATTGTGATTCCGGTTTGGTCGCCAGCAATGGTCGGAGGAATTGAAAAAATAAACCTGAGATGTCGAATTTGTGATTGCATTGAAGACTTGATTGTATATATAATTATGTAGAGGAGGGTGCATCGTTAGCGAGATGCCCTTTCAGCTGGTAAGAAATCGTCCCTGCCCCCTCCCATTTTCTTAAAAATAGATTTTGAAACTTCATGTAGAGAGAGAGAGAGAGATAGAGAGAGCATGGGGGTTGGAAAGGGGGATAGAAAGGGTGCGAGAGAAAAAAGAGAGAAAGAAAGTGGGAGAAATTGAGAGAGGGATAGAAAGCGAGAGAGAAAGAAAAGAATGAAAAAGAGCTAAGAAAAAGATAGATAAAGTCTCACCTCCCTGGATAGATAGAGAGAAAGGAGAGAGAGAGAGAGAGAGAGAGAGAGAGAGAGAGAGAGAGAGAGAGAGAGAGAAAAGACATAAAATAAAAGGGGAAGGAAGAAAAAGAGAGTGTATGTACTATGTGTGTGTGTGTGTGGGGGGGGGCTCTTGCCTTTTCCTTGTCTCTTGGAAATACGCCACATATTGTATTGTTATCCCGGTGCATCACACAATCACACGCGCACGCGCGCACACACACACACACACGCACACACACACAACAAAAACACCCAACCACACACACAAAAGCGTTCATATTTCATAATGGAAATCACCTAACCTACTACACCCAACAATATACGAAGTAGATATCCCTCTCTGTTCCTATTTTACCAAGAGTCCCTTTAATATTAGTCGTTTCTCGTTTAAAAGTTCCAATGTGACAGGTCCACACAGACACAGTCATTAAACCATGTCTACAAAAATGTGGTCTCATTAAATATAGATTACTGATTCCCCGTATCTCGACTTGACTCTCTCCCTCTCTCTCTCTCTCTCTCTCTCTCTCCCTCTTCCCTTTATCTCAACCCTAATTCATTCCGCTCTATTTTGGACAGATGTTAAAATCATTCCCTGTTTGACAGCGGGCCGCAAGAAGTCTACACTTGACCGTGACGTGACTGGTGTTAGATCCCTTAACCTTGGCACTCCCTATCAAGCGCATTTCCGTACCGAAACTAGAAGGACATCAATAAATGTAACCCTTGACCTTCCACCTCTCTTAGACTATTATTTTCTCCTGCGAGAATACAGGTAGAAGCTAGAAGTCAAAGTCTGTTCCTCCAAAGTGACGATGTGTTATTATAGTTCGGATGGATAAGTAAGAAAACCAGAGCCTGATACTATCGTGAAAATGTGAATTTCTTTTTTCATGGGTACCAATCACATCTATATTATGTATATGATACTGAATGGGCTAAAATGGGAGACCCTGGGACACAAGGGCATATTGGAAGCTTCATTTTTATATGACGACCAAAATGAAAATTGTTAAACCTGATTATGTCGAAGGGTTTCAAACGTGTGAAATAGAAAAGAAGATCTGGACGTGTAAGCGATATTAGATAAGAAAGTCAAAGAAAGCATATATAATTTTTTTTTAAATGACATGGACCAAAGAGAAAAAGATTGAAAGAAAGAAAAAGAGATAGATAAAAAGAAAGCGAGAGAGAGAGAGAGATCCAAACGAACTTTTCCAAAGTAATCCAATGCATTTACGAAGCTCTAATAAAATCTGCCTCGCCTTGTACAGTAAGCAAAAACCTTCAGACCGGTTTCATAATTTTTATTTTCTCACACATTTTGAAGGGAAAAGGAATCGAAACATAATGACGATATATTAATGTCGCTTTAAAAAAAACCTTCTCTAACCTAATTTACAATTTTGTAGGTCACACACATTTTGAGAACAATATTCTTCAAACAGTTTATAAAATAGTTAACGCTACTGAAAAAGATTTAAAAAAAGTATGTGTGAATGTAACAAATTATTATTTCTTTACATTTCTTTTTACACTCTGATGGCAGAGATACTAAAAAAATACAACCTAAAAAGCAATTCAAAAAACGCAAATTCAGTCCGTATATCGGCCCGTCGCCCCTACCACATAAATTTTTAGGGCCCAGGAGAAGAAAAAATATTCAGTACACTTTGCAAGGATTCCCAGTTTCATTGCCCCCCCCCCCTCTCCACGTCTAAATCATACACTGTTGCCCCTAGATTTTGAATAATGTGTTCTTACCTTTCTTTTTTCATAAAGTGGTTGTGAGAATGTGGTTTATTCTTGATAGATAAAGGTTATATCTTCTCATAACTTTCTTGAGTAATATAGAGATTCAATTAAATTAAATTCAAAGTAACATTGATCAATAAAGTTCTAAGATGATAATTGCAAACTTTATCCATCAAGAATGAACCACATTCTCACCATCACTTCATGAAAAGAGGTGGGAATTCCACCCCTCCCATATTAATGGGCAACAGTGTATAATCAGTGAATTGGTATTAAAATAAATCGCTCACAACGTATATAATTGTTTGCTTCCATCGAGTGGATTATGACCTACAGTATATCCTTTTAAGATTTAAAAAATACGACAATATACGCAACTATACGTCTGCCGAAACCGCCCGAAGTGGATCCGAAAGCGTTCGGTGTACTATGGTATTGCCCTCATCTATGGCCTCTAGCACCATATAGTACAGAGGAGGTAAAGTAAACAGGGGAACAGGTGAAAAGATATTGTAGAAAGGGATGTTTCAGAGTGATTTTATGCCAGCCCCACGCATGTCAAAAAACAAACAATCATTATCCTCTTGAAATAAAAACATCTTCCGGTAGTGGATGTTATTATATCTCATCAGTTTCCCATCAGTTTTCCTCTTTATTTTGTCGGCCTTGTTATTTGGTTCCTTAGACATGTATTTTTTATCGAGAAATAAGGAAATGTTGATTTTTGTACTTTTCAGTGAAGGTAAACTCTGTGAGAGTACCGAAATTAGAATGGAATCTTCGTCTTTAATACAGTTGTCTGAAATTCAGTGATATGCATCGGTTGCTATAATAAAATGGGTTTGGTCATTTCGTAGTAATTTCACTATCAGGAAATGTAAAATGCAGTTACACAGAGCTAACAGAAGCAGGGCCGTAGCCAGAGTTTGATGTGGGGGGGGGGGCACATACATGTAATTGATCGACGTCCTGGGGAGGGGTCTAAAAAAGTTCAACCGATCTTGGAAGAAAAAAAATGGGGGGAGGGGAGGGGGTGGCTACGGGCCTGAACAGAAAGAAGAAGGGAGAGGGGGATGGGGGTCAATCAAGTCCTCCCTTTTTACTTAAACGGGTTGATGGTGCTAGCATTATTCATGGATCTATACATTATTATCTGCACTTATATCATAATAACCACAACAACTTCTAATTAAGTCGTTCATGAACACCTGACACATACCTAAAACTGTTAAGACGATGATGAGGACGATGAGGAGAACCAACCCGAGAACGAGCAGGAGGCCATATTTCGCCCTCCGTGCCCTCTTTGGGGACATGCCGCCCCCTCCTTTGGTGACAACTTTCGGCGTCTCTTCCACGGCATCCTTTGGAGCGTCTTTCTTTCCGCCACCATCTTCCTCCCCTCGCTCAGCCAGCTCGTATCCGCCCTTCCTGTTGTAAGAGAAGACATAAGTCTGTTGAGTACCAGAAGGACTTAACGTTTTGTGTCTGCTCAAAACGTTGTAACTAGATATATTGTTCAACATACATTTATTATTGTTATTATTGTTATACTACTGTACTTGAACGCTTGGATAATAAAAACCTCAACTCAACTCAGATATGTGTTAACTGACGAGTCTTATCAAAGATAGAGAAGGACCATATGAGTCATATAAAA